TTGTACCTACGTGACTTTACCGAAACAACCTAAGAATATGCAGTATAGCTGAGTGATATATTCCGTTGTTTAGTATACACACTTGCAGCCTCCTTTGCATTTTACTGCTAAGTGAAGACCTCCCCAACCAACGGCTTGTTCGTGCATTTTTTTTTACCATACTTCACTACGCTGGTCAATGCACACGTTTAGTGACGTTGGGGGAGGGGGTTGGGAAGGGAAGAAAGGGCAGGCAAGATCGTTTCAGGTACCACTCGTCATCGATGATAAGCCGTGGTTGGGAATCGAACTCAGAACTCAGGTGGGCAGGTTTCTTACTGCGCCACAGCGCCACAGCTCCATATAAGCACATGGCGGGTAGATATACGCACACACATCATAAAACAAGTGCCCATTCGCTGAACTGCGGTATCGGAAATGCGAATATCGTCGCTGGCAGCGCCAGATGCTCGTAAGCAGTGACTTGCCTTTTTTTGCGCATCGGTAGAATTGGATAATTATTATTCATCGCGAGCGCTGGGCACAAAACAGCGGCAAAATAGCAGACGTGGGAGACGATGAAAGTGAGCGTTTTGTGTTGTACCATTTGTCAAGTGCGGGCATTTGTTTCATTTGGCCGGAGCAAAATAATTCCAATGTCATGCTTTTAATAAAGGGTCGGCAGGAATATGGAGCGTAAATTATGACGTGTGTTTTGCATTTGTAACTAACCCAGGCCTCTCTCTGCCTTACAAAAAAGAGAAAGAAACAGACTTATATTCCCAATGGGATCTTACCTGGTTGAGAAAATAATGGAAATTGATTCGTGTTATGCAACAACGATTGTAGAAGACCATTACATCTTCTTGGTTCTTTCGTGACTTTACCGAAAGAACCAAGAAGATGAATCCCTGCAGTCACGAAAGCTTTAAATCGAAATTTAAGACCATTACAAGTATGAAGTTGTGTATGAGCTCCTTGTAAGTCCACTGCTGGATGAAGGCTCGCCACGCCGTGTAGGTCACTGAGGTTGTTTGACCATACTTCACCGCGTTGGGCAGTGCGGGTTGGTGAATTCGGGCGAAGGGTGGACCCAGAGCCGATGCAGGTATCACTCTCCACTCGCAGTGGCTAGGAATCGAAATCTACTTGAACTATTCAGAGCACGATGAGCTAACCATTGCGCCACCGCTCCCCCCGAGATAATAATAATAAGCACGCACACATAAGCACAGCTGCGCGCACACACACACACACGTACAATGATACAATGCTCATGGTAATTCACAGCCAATGTTTTTGATATCAACTGCCGAATGAAGGCCTCCCCGCCGCGTCGGGAAATTGTTTGACCATACTTCACCAGTGCCAACATTGGTGAGTCCAGGACAACTTCACACATCCCTCTTCGCTGACGTTGCCCGTGGCATGGAATCGTACTCAAGCCGTGTCTGGGTTCAGAAGCGCACTGCCCTCACCGCTGCGCCACCGCTCGACGCCGCTGCCGTTGCGCGAAGACGTCCCGAACGCATCGACACCTCGGGCACTCGTTTGGCATCAGAGGGCCCCTTTGTTGTCTGAAGTGATGAGTCTGCAGATGGGGAGGGGGGGGGGGACGTCTTGCTGGAATAATGGGGCCCTTGGCCTGGCTAATGCCCTCTGAGACGGCCCGCGTGCACATCGCGTCCACCCCCCCGCGTCCACCACCCCCTCCACCCCCCCCCCCCCCCGTTTGTCCTCCCAAGTCTCGATCGCAGTTAATTTTGTCCGAGGGTCAGAGTTGTTTGCCAGCGGTCACCGGGATCACACGGGTGGCAGAGCATCGCCATGGCTACGGGGCCAGCTACTCGAGCCCCGCTTCTCCACTCTCCACCACAAGCACACCACCGCACACACCACCACACACACCACCACACACACCACCACACACACCACCACTCCACACACACCACTAGACACACCACACACACCACCACACACCCCACCACACCACACACGCCACACCCCCCACACACCAACACCACCACACACCCCAACACACCCCAACACCCCCCAACACACACCACCACCACACACCACACCACACACCACACCACACCACACACGCCACCACACACACCATACACCCCACACCCCACACACACCACCACACACACCACCACACACACCACCACACACACCACCACACACACCACCACACACACCACCACACACACCACCACCACACACACCACCACTCCACACACACCACCACTCCACACACACCACCACACACACCACCATTCCACACACACCACCACACACACCACCACTCCACACACACCACCACACACACCACCACACACCCCACCACACACCACCACACCACACACACCACCACACACACCACACACACCACCACACACACCACACACACCACCACACACACCACACACACCACTACACACACCACACACACCACCACACACACCACACACACCACCACACACACCACACACACCACCACACACACCACACACACCACCACACACACCACCACACACCCCACACACACCACCACACACCACCACACACCACCACACACCACCACACACACACTACACACACACCACCACAAACCCTACGACACACACCACCACACACCACCACACACCACCACACACCACCACACACCACCACAAAGACAAAGATCCCCCGTATAGCCTTAACAGACTGTAGGGGCAAGTGCTGTTAGCGAGCACCTATGAAGGCCGGAACGGTACACGAGGGGGTGGGTGGCCAGCACCACGCCCGACCGCCTTTGTCTCCCCAGTGGGCGATGTTTACACACCGCACCAGGTACTCATTTAAGGCTGAGCCGACCTAGGAGAGGCCCAGGACCGGTTCAGATAATCGTCACTGGTGTTAGCGGTGAGCGGGAATCGAACCCGGGTCGCCAGGTTCATAGCGCAGCGCGCTAACCGCTACACTACCGCTCCCCACCACCACACACACCATCACACACACCACACACACCACTACACCACACATACCACCACACACACCACACACACCACCACACACACCACCACACACACCACCATACACCACCACACACACCACACACACCACCTCACACACCACACACACCACCACAGACACCACACACACCACCACACACCACACACACACCAACACATACCACCACACACCCCACCACACACACCACACACACCACCACACACACCACCACACAAACCACCACACACACCACACACACCACCACACACACCACCACACACACCACACACACACCAATACACACACCACACACACCACCACACTCCACCACACACCACCACACACACCACACACACCACACACACACCACCACACACACCACACACCCCACCACACACACCACGGCTACCACCTTCATTACCATCACTACCACCGCTACCAACGCCTCTTGCTAACCTACCACTCACCCCATCAGCACCACCACCACCACTACCCCCATTATCACCACCACCACTACTCCCATTATCACTACCACCACCACTACTCCCATTATCACCACCACTACTCCCATTATCACCACCACCACTACTCCCATCATCACCACCACCACCACTACTCCCATCATCACCACCACCACCACTACTCCCATTATCACCACCACCACCACTACAACCGCCACTACCCCAATCTAACCCCACTCACCATCACACTCTGCTACCCTCCCACTCTCCACCAAAACCACCACCATGTTCTCTCCCGCCCCATGTTACCCTCCCATTCACCCGCAACACCATCACTACCACCACCTACTCCTCCTCCTCTCCACGATACCCTCCCACTCACCCCACCACCACGACTACCATCGCCACTACCATCACAACCACCACCACCTCCTCCTCCTCCTCCACCCCCTGCTACCTTTCCCACTCAACCCCCACCACCACCACGGCTTCGTCCCAACGCGGTCCCCACACCCACCCGAGCCCGCTCTGTTCTAAACATCCCCTTCATCTGATCGCGCCCATTCATATGCATGAGATAGGAAGTGGCTCTCCTCTTCTATTAAGTGGCACCAACAAAGGGCCCGAAAGTTTACGCATTTCTCACGCTACCATTTCCATCCTTGATTATCTTCGAGCCGGCTTGCGAGCAACTCTCTGCGGGTGCGTAAATCATGGACGTAAAGAAAGGAAGGAGCGTTGGGGGGTGATGAGGTGGGGCGAGTGGGGGAGTGCACGGGGTGGGTGGACGCGGGGTGGAGGGTTGCACTCTGAGAAGTTGGGACAGAGAAGAAGGGGGTAGCGGAGGTGGGGTGGGGAGGTTTGGGGTGCGACGGGGGGGGGGGGTTTGTGGGAGTGAGAGGAGTGGAGTGGGCTGGGAGGGAGGGAAATAGTTGTTAAGCTAGCCCAAACGCCGTTGAGAAGTCACTGTGTTGTGGGTCATCTCGATCATTGTCATGCTAATGTCAGTGTCCCAGGGTCTCCCTCCTCCTCCTCCTCCCCTCTCTCTCTCTCTCCTCGCCGCCCTCCCTCTCTCCACACCAGCAGAGCCTATAAACAGACCGCTCGCTTGTTTAGAAGCGGCCGCTGTATTCGTGCTCATAGACGCATTAAAGTTTATTAGCGCGAGGCTGGATGCCCCGTAATCCGACGCGATTTCACGTTTACGGACTTGAAGCTCGCTCTGCTCTCCAAGCTCCCAAACCTCCACGACACCCCCCCCCCCCCTACCTCTTGCGGCAGAAGTAGAAATGGCAAATTTACTGGCACATCAATGAGGGGGGCTTCCTCGCGTGCAAGCAGCCAGGTCAACGTCGGATGAGCCAATGCTTTCAGCAGTTTTGCCTTCCAATACCTTGTCCGGATTTGGCCGTGCCTTGTGTGCTTGGCTGAGCTCTGGGTAGCGGTGGGGAGGAGAGAGAGGAGGCTTTCTGCTGCTGCTGCTGTTGCTGGTGGTGGGGTAAAGCTGTGAGGAGGTAGAGGTGGAGGGGAGGGGAGGTGTGGAGAGAGAGGAGGAGGCAAGTGGGGGGGGGGGGGGGGGGGAAGGGGGTTGGGGGTTAGGAAGGCTTTGCCACTGCCAGGGCTGATGTGACTGACGGCCTCGGCATGTAAATTCGTTTTCCGCCGTTCCGAATCTCAGACGAGTAGCGGCTTTCCGAGCGACACAGGAGCTACCACTGGCTCCTCTCGACCGGCCACTATGAAGTCTGTTTGTTTTTCGTGGCGTTTCTGTTTGTTTTTTCTCCTCTTAAATACTGCTCCCTGTTTAGGAACCACCGGCCTTCAAGGTAAGATGTTTTCTTATTCTTCCCATTTTTTTCTTTTCGCGCGGGTTTGACTGGACGCGTTGAATGATGAGTGGATATTCACGAAAGCGATCCTGTGGATTGGAGACAGACCACCACCACCCCCTTCCCTCCCATCTGTCCACGGTGCTAAATGACCGTACCGACGAGAATCTTTCGCGTGCGGTGGTTCTGGTTGTTCCGTCGAACAATTTGGCAGTAAAAAAAATTTTCATTTCTGTACACGCGTGTCTCTCTGTGTTGTGTGTCTCTGTGTGTGCGCCCGTGTGTAGACCCACGGCACACACTTCATATCACCGCAATTTACATCTCCGTGGCTGATTTAGCGGCTGCGCGGTAGAAAGCCGTGCGCGGGTATTTAATTGCGTCCTTGCAGCGAGACATATCTCTAGAATGTCGCGATGAATGAAGAGAGCCCGCCAAGTATAACCAATGTCTTGCCGCTGCGTCCGTGTTGCTTTATCTACGGGCGATCTTGCCCTATTATTTATTGCAAGTGCCGGCCAACAATTGATATCCCCAATGGGTTGTTTGCCGCTGGGTTTTTTTTGTGTGTGTGTGTTGCTAGTGTTATCTCTCAAATGTAGCAGAGAACAATTACGCGCTTGCTACATACATACACACATACACACGACGTATATAGTTGGGTCAGCTGTACGCATGTTTTTGTGTGCCAAAACCTTGATATTTAAAAGGCAAAACGCCACGGCGGGGATTGTGTATCCGTATCGGCAAACGCGCGGCGCTCTTCCGACGAAGCTGCGTTTGGTTTTCCAGGCTAAACTCGTTTGCTTTGCGCAGCCTTAAATTGTGTGTGTGTCTGTGAAACTCTAAGACAAACACGAAGCCGTTCTTCACGTGTGACATTTTTTTGTTCTTTCAATCCTCTCTCTCTCTCATTCCCTTGCTTCTGCTGCTCCTCCACGCTACACGATAATGCCAACGCAGCATTGACAATTGTGCTCGTAATCAGTCAATGCACGTGTACCCCAGGGTAGTGGAGTTTTAAAATGTGTTTGTTTTCCCCTGCTTTACGTATGAATGTGCTCATTTACGTGTCGAGTGTGTGTGTGTTGTGTTACGCGACTTTAAATCCGTTGTTGATATGTTGCAACAGAATTCACGCGCACGCGTTTTTGGTACCGCTCACCTCGCGACTAAATTATGACTGCGTCCGAAATTAACGACTCTTGATTAATTGTCTGCAGTTAAAATATAAAATTAGCCGCGCGACACTTTAAAAAGTAGACAGGTTTGGACTTCACACCGGGCTACAGAAGGGACGGGGTGGATCGAACTGGAAGTTGGAACTGAAAATAAATTCAATATCGGTTCGTAAATAGACCTTATTAAATGTTGCCTGTTGTGCACAACAGAGATATATTTAAAATTCAATACACGCTCAAGCAAAACAATTAACACGGATTGCACGCGGGCAGTAATTACATCAGCTATAATTTAAAGTCACGGCGATATCGACACGGCTAGAACAATTACCGCATTTGGCACCCACATTGCGATCGATTGTGTTAATTCTTTGTACGCGTGCCAACATTAAGCCATCGATCGCATTTGATTTTGTACCGCCGCGGCAATGATTTTGTGAGCCGTTTGGGGAAATAGGTCCGAGCGATTATTGCAACTTTAAACCTACACACCACTGATTTTACACATATATATACCACGGTGTGTGTGTGTGTGTGCATATACATCGCTTGCGAGTTGGTGTACATTGAAGCTTTGAGTTAATTCGCTGGAGTTTAAACAACAACAACAACAACAAAAACCGGTAGCGAAATTCGTCTCGCTGGGCGTGAGAGGTCCGTGCGTTGAACGACTTTTCAAAGTGTTCTTTCGTGAAAAGCCACATTTACGCACACGGCAGCGTGTGCGTAAACGTGTATGCGTACAGCCTACTCGAGCGCACACTCACATGTACAATACAAGACGCAAGGGGGGCCGGCCCAACTCTCTCTTTCATGCCATTCGGAAATTTAGTTCAAAGAAGGCGACCGCATATATACTGCACATATGTGTATACCGCACGTGTACACCGTATCGTAGAATATGTCAGTCAACTGCCCCGTGTTACACATGCAATGCATGGACTTCAAACAAAAAATCACAGTTACTGGCAAAAATATATTCCGATCTTCCTTGAAACAACGAGTGTAAGACAATGGATTTGGTCAGGTGTATGTGTGTATGTATATGTACACGCGTGTTGGTATGTGCCACGTGTGTGTATGTCCGTGGTTGTGCTGAATTCATGTCCGTGTGTCTGTCTGTGTGTGCGCGTACGTGTTCGTATGTTCGTGTGTCGTGTATGGGTCCCGTGGGACTGTGGGAGCAGTATAGTGTCGTGGGTAAAGGACCAGGCGACACGAGTTCGATTCCCGCTCACGACCGATAACATGGGCGAATATTTTACCCGGTCATGGACTCATGGGCGTCGACTAGGTCGACTCAGCCTTAAACGAGTTCCTGTTGCGGTGTGCAAACATCAGCACTGTGGGGAGACAAAGGCGGACGGACGCGGTGCCGTTGGCCAAACACCTCCCACGTGAAACGTGCCGGCCTCTATCGGGTGCTCGCTCACAGCACCTTGCCCCAACAGTCTGTCGAGAAGGCGACACGGGGAATCTTTGTTCTCCTGTGCGCGCGCGTATGTGTGCGTCTCCGTGTCTTGTGTGTGAACGTGCGTGTGATGATGCACATATTTGTGTGTGTGTGTGTGTGGTGTGTGTGTATGCGTGCGTTGTGTGTGGATGTGAATGTGTGCGCTGCGAGTGCAGTGACGCGCGCGCGTGTGTGTGTGTACCGTATGTGCGTGCGTTGCGCAAGTAAGCGTATGCGCACGTGTGTGTCCGTGTGTGTGTTTTGTGGGAGTGTTTTGTGTGCGTGTGTGTGTCTCCGTGTGTTTGTGACCTCCTTGCCAGCGAGCCTTCGACACTTCACGTGGCCACAAAGCGCACCTAGCCTGGTACAAGCTCTGTGGTGTCGTCACCGCCACTTAGTGGCGAATGTTGTTAAGGTGGGGGGGGGGGGCGGGGAGCGGTGGCGCAGTGAACAGCGCCCACTGCGCTCCCACCTCGGCCACCTGAGTTAGACACCCGGCAATGGCTAACATCATTGGCCAGTGATATCCCAAAGCTGCCCTGGGATTCACCTAGGTCGACTCGGCCTCAAACGAGTAACCTAGTGCGCTGTGTGATCATCGACACGGGGGACACAAAGACGGCCGGGGGTTGGTGCTTGCCAAATCAGCCCCATTTACGCCATGTCGGCCTTAATAGGTGCTCGCAAACAGCACTTGCCCCAACAGTCTCTATAAAGGTTATACGGGAGAATCTTTGTCTTATTACCATGTGTGTGTTTCATGTGCGCGTGTGTTGCGTATCTATGTAACGTGTGCGTGTGTTGTACAGCGCGCGTGTGTGCGTCACGCTATAATACTCGCTCTGACTACCTACCACCAGGCATTCATTTCTCACTGAATACGTTTCGGGTGGCTGGTAGACTGGGGTAGGTGGCAGGTGACGGGTAGGCACAGGCATGACGACAGGAGGTGGACTGGACGTGGTGCAGCGAAAAAAATATAAAAACATCTTCCAGAAATCCGCCCAGCAGTATGAATGGGTACGACCACGCTTCATGCTTCGGCAGTTTTGCTTGTGGTGGGGTAAAGTGTGGGGGGGGGGGTCACTCCCCACCTCTTCCCAGGGGGTCTGGGGGCAGCAAGCGTGGAAGTGAAAGCTGCAGTGGCATTCGAGAGGTGGCTTGAGAGAGCTCCCTCTAGCGGAGGGGGTGGGGGGACGCTTCCGCTGGCAGTGGCGTGAGCGAGGGATGGCAGGGGCTGCACCTGTACTTTACACCTAACAATTTGTTTTTCTTGATTTTTTTTTTAAAATCAGCCAATGCCCCACTGAGCTACGTAGCTCTCTCTTTTTTTTCAGAAGCGACCTGACCACAAAATGATAGCTGAGCGAAGTGGCTTGCTATCACGTGGAGATGTAGAGCAGACAAATACTCTAAAGGCGTGATGGTGATTCTAAATGTGGATTAAAAAACCGAAGGACCCCGGAGACAAGGCGACCATGGGGAGAGAGACACAAAATTCAAATGTACAACATGAGTCAGGGTCGATATCGAAATCACCGATCTCCTGTATACCAGGCGAAGTAGTTAACATCTCCAAGCCACCGTGGTGATGATGATGCTGAGAGAGAGAGACGCAAACTCTAAATATACAGCAGCAGGCGTCAGGGTCGAGATCGAACTCACCGACCTCCTGTATACCAGGCGAAGTAGTTAACATCTCCAAGCCACCGTGATGGTGATGCTGAGAGAGAGAGACGCAAACTCTAAATATACAGCAGCAGGCGTCAGGGTCGAGATAGAACTCACCGACCTCCTGTATACCAGGCGAAGTAGTTAACATCTCCAAGCCACCGTGATGATGATGCTGAGAGAGAGAGACGCAAACTCTAAATATACAGCAGCAGGCGTCAGGGTCGAGATCGAACTCCCCGACATCCTGTATACCAGGCGAAGTAGTTAACATCTCCAAGCCACCGTGATGGTGATGCTGAGAGAGAGAGACGCAAACTCTACATATACAGCAGCAAGCGTCAGGGTCGAGATCGAACTCACCGACCTCCTGTATACCAGCCGAAGTAGTTAACATCTCCAAGCCACCGTGATGATGATGCTGAGAGAGAGAGACGCAAACTCTAAATATACAGCTGCAGGCGTCAGGGTCGAGATCGAACTCCCCGACATCCTGTATACCAGGCGAAGTAGTTAACATCTCCAAGCCACCGTGATGGTGATGCTGAGAGAGAGAGACGCAAACTCTAAATATACAGCAGCAGGCGTCAGGGTCGAGATCGAACTCCCCGACATCCTGTATACCAGGCGAAGTAGTTAACATCTCCAAGCCACCGTGATGGTGATGCTGAGAGAGAGAGACGCAAACTCTACATATACAGCAGCAAGCGTCAGGGTCGAGATCGAACTCACCGACCTCCTGTATACCAGCCGAAGTAGTTAACATCTCCAAGCCACCGTGATGATGATGCTGAGAGAGAGAGACGCAAACTCTAAATATACAGCAGGCGTCAGGGTCGAGATCGAACTCACCGACCTCCTGTATACCTGGCGAAGTAGTTAACATCTCCAAGCCACCGTCATGATGATGCTGAGAGAGAGAGACGCAAACTCTACATATACAGCAGCAAGCGTCAGGGTCGAGATCGAACTCACCGACCTCCTGTATACCAGGCGAAGTAGTTAACATCTCCAAGCCACCGTGATGATGATGCTGAGAGAGAGAGACGCAAACTCTAAATATACAGCAGCAGGCGTCAGGGTCGAGATCGAACTCACCGACCTCCTGTATACCAGGCGAAGTAGTTAACATTCTCGCCACCATGGCGTCCTCTTTACCTCTTGTCACCCGACACACGCCGAACCCTTCTCACACAACCCTGTCTGTTGTACCCCCCCACCCCTCTCCACCCCTCTCCACCCCTACCCCCATAAAGGGGGCCCTATGGCAGACAGAGACGAGTGCGCCGAGAGCACGGACGACTGTCACATCGACGCGATCTGCCAGAACACGGCGCAGGCGTACCGCTGCATCTGCAAGCCGGGCTTCAAGGGAGACGGAACGCACTGCGAGGGTGCGTGCCCGCAGAGCGCCACCACCTCCACTCACCGCGACGCACTCGCCTCTCGTTGCGAGCTCCCGCTGAATTCACGCCTCCGATTTAGCACGGTCGGCTACGTGCGCTGCGAAAGAAGTTCAACACGCACATACATACACACATACACACACACACGCACACACATACACACACACACATACACACACACACCCCCCAGCATCGATTGTGGCAGTTCGGTTTCAATTTGGCGAATTGCGAGTTTTTTCTGCTTGCGATGCGCCCGAGCGAGAGAGAGAGAGAGGACGTACACCGTGGAGATGGAACGATGAAATCAGCTCGTGTTGTGGTAGGAGCGAGCTGGATTGTTGAGGGATGGCAACGTCTTGGGGCGGGGGGATGGAGGTTAGGTATTGAGGGCCTTCATCCAGCAGTGGATTGATCATGGCTGATGGTGAGGATGATGATGTGATGCTAAGCTACCCTGTCACCTGACCTCGCCTCGTCAGATCCCAGCAAGCTAAGCAGGCGTGAGCCCTGGATATTACTTGATTTTGGCGGTCACCATACATATATCTTAGTCGTTCCAGGCTGCTGCAAGGCCATGTGTTGGGCAGCAGAAGAGAGTCCAGCAAACTCAATTGTCGGTACTCAACGTCGATGCTACTGCGTCTGTGCTCTCTGCCTTCACCAACCCGAACTGAGCAGCGTGGTGAAGGATGGTCCAATGGCCCCTGCAACCCGCACGGTGTGGGTAAGCCTTCATCAAGAAGGGGATTGACAAGAGCTCTGCACATATAGTAGAGCGCTTGTAATAGTATTCATTTACACACCTTTGTCAATCCATTGCTTGAATATTGGCATGTCCATGTTGTGTCAGTGGTCAGGATTTGGCCATACCGTGCTTCCTTCCCCGTATGCTGTGACGTTGGAGAGTTTGCCCAGGATCCGTTCAGATATTATTCGCCACTGATACGAGCCGCAGTTACGAATCCAACTCGGGTGACCGGGGTTCGTCGCGCGGTGCGTGAATCACTGCGTCACCCTGCCGCTACCAAAATGCACTTGCCAATGGGGTTGTTGAACGATCTATTTTCTCATGGAATATTATTGGGGAGGGGGAGTTCAACCTCATGTAGTCTACTCCCCCCCTTCCCCTCCAACAGCAGGTAGGGGGATATTTTCTGAAGCTCAGCCCCAGACAGCTTCAGCTGGCTGAAATTAATCCCGACTCATTTGGAATACATGAGAAGGCGCAGTCGTTAATGATGCGTAGATTCATCGATGAACGAGCACGCATCGAGTCTCGCGCGTGAAACTCCCATTATTTTTCTTCGACGGATGCGATTAGAATACGCACATTATATGCGCTAATCTTAACGCTCAGGTTCACGGAGCGAGCTGTGGAAGGGTATAAAGATGTGTAATAAAAAAGAACCAGACAATTTATAGAATCTCCCGTTAGTAGTGGAGGAGAGGGGGGGGGGGCGATGGAATCGTTGCACTCCAAGTGCGCTCGTACTTTTCACTTTCTCAGTATAAATAAATGCTGAACTATGCGACAGTAAAACTTAATAGCATTTTCTAAATTCCTTACCACTTTTCAAGTGAACTGCGAGGGCTTACATATCTGCATTGAGGTGAGAGCATACTTCAGCAGAACTGCCACTGCCTGTCTCCTGCGTACAAAGCAAGCGGCAGTGTTTTTAGTCCTATCTTATTATTGGCTTTTTCGTCCAATATCACCGAGTAGTATTTGTTCAAGCAATCTAACTCTGGACTGGTTTCAACTGTCTGCGTCTCGTCATCAGGGTCGCTCCATCACCAGATGTCAGAATCGGAATATTTATTTATACTGGAGGAATCCGATGGGCTATAAAGCTCTTTTTGACAGCTGTCCAGTCGGGGCGAGTAAGAACGTTACGACAACAAACAATACAAAAATACCATCGGAGTGCAATATACTGGAACGGTAAACAAATCACACAAGCACATTGGCAAGAGCACTCCATATAAACGACGAGACCCTCGTTTCAAACGCGAAAAGCAATTCCGTGAACGCACTCGTTACAGCTAGGACGGGTAGGCATACAAATAGATAAAGCAATTAAGGCAGAGTAGTCCCCGCCTATTCATATTGCAGCAGAAGTGATGAGGATGGAGGTGCAAGTCTTGTTGAGTGGAACCATGAGCTCTGCTTTCCGCGATGCACTTTAACAGCGACGGCAGGACATTTTTCGCATTTCATGGGAGTCTAATTGTGGACATTTCGTTCACTTCTAAAGGACGTGATTCTCAATGTCTGCTCATGGGAATCTTGCATGTGTGATTGCAAGAAAATATTGGTAAAAGGTGTAAAAAAAAACATCCTAATTTGTTTCAGAGTCCCACAGTTTTTAGACAGCGACTACGCCCAAGTATGAGCGAGTCGATGTATCTGCCCATCGTTCACTGTGTAGAAGGGACATTGCCTGAAACGTTGCGTGACATCTTTCTGCTGTCAATTAAGAATTAGGTGATACTTTTTGTTGTTGTTGCAGCTTTGCGTGTTGTTCGCCGCGTGTGCGTGGGGTTTCTCTGGAATTGGCCAAACATCCCAAGGCAAGGCACCTCTTGAACAACAACAAAAGTCATGAGATTCAGTGGGGATTTCCTTTGCTAAATAAATGTAATTTTTTGTTGTGATTATTGCCACTGCAACAACACTAGGGTAGGTACAAGGCTTGAGTTATTAAGGTGTGTGCGTGCTGAAGGCTATCTTGTTGTTCACGTTGTATTGTGCCATTCCGTTTATACACGTGCGCCTATAAGTCTTGAGTGTGTACGGTCAATTCCTTGGGAACGGAATTACCGCGCAGAATATTGAAAGAACCTGATAATCACACGGTGTGACATGAGCATCGTCGGTGCGATAACTGCTGTTGCGACACGCAGAATAGCCCGTGACATCGCCGTGTCTGACATGCCTGCATTTGTTCTTGTGCTTCCATTACCGACACGCAAATAGACAAAACACACAAACAGCATGTCAGTACTGTACGATATATATTTGCTGAGAAAATGCTTCCGGTTGTCTTTCAATGCACGGGGACTTTAACCAGAAACTATTCTGCCGAATGCACTTGCGTTCAGGAAGAATGAGTTAGGAGTTCGCCCCGCGTGGAAATGTCTCCACCGTGGCTTTGATGGAACATAATACTGGTCTGGAAAGCCAAGAGGCTGATGGGCTGAAACATACACAGCATACAGGACAGAGTTCTGCTTAGATTTGCTTTTATCGATATCATGCTTTACAACAGTGTATAATAACTATACAGTATTGCTCTTTGTGTTGAACAACATCTGGTAACCCAGAAGCTTTGTTTACCAAACCCTGAATCTGCTGATGAGACCCAGAAGGTCAGAACCAGGTCCAGAGTTTGCTTGCTTAAAGAAATGTTCCAGAAAGGCTGATAGACGATTTCATTTTTTCATTCATATGAAAATACAAAGAAGGTAGTTTTTTGCTGCTCATATTTGCTTTCATCATCAGATAGGGCTGTAGATGTACGTACGGTGACGCAAACGCCCAGAGCTCTGATCTGTTTCACCAGTCTTGAGGACTCTGTGGTCCGTGACCTGAACGTATCAGGCTGAGCTTGCCGTATCGCCTTCCCCGGGCTTATTACCGTCATGCGCGCGTTAAGTTATCACCCATTCACGCGAAAAAATGCGCATTCATAATGCGGCTGCCCTACTGTGATCGGATAATCGTGAAAAATCCAGTCGAGGAGTTACGATGCTCGAGTAAATGATGGCTATTGGGTGCAGGCTTAGACTCCTTTAGGCCGATGCGAAGAGTGTGATTGCATTTGGCCAAGGACCGATCATTTTGACCAGCGCCTGTGAATTTGCACAGCTTGTCGATGTGAAAAAATAAGAGATGTGTCTTAGCAAATGAATGTTTCAGTCGCAATTTTTTTAATTGGTGCAAGTGCTTGGCAATTTTTATTTCAAGTGAAAACAAAAATCAGGCTTACCATATGCCAGTGGCAGTGATTTTCACATTGTGTATCGTTGCTAATTGAAATAGATAACTTTCAATATAACAGATATACACCAAGTAAAAACCATGTGGGTGGAGCAGTGGCACAGCGGTTAATGCACTGCACTACGAACCCGATGACCTGAGCAATAACCCCGACCATGGCTCTATCGTCAGTATTGTCTGAACCAGTGTGCTCCCACTTGACCAGTGCACGCTAACCGGTGTGGTGAAGTATGCTCAAACAGCCTTGATCATGCAGCAGTTCATCGACGAAGGGATGATTTTTTTTAATCGATTATCAAATACAAAAAGTACTTTTATATATATATAAAGGAATACCTTTTGAGACGTAGAAGTTTTTAAAAATCGATTATCTACATCGCCCAATCATCGCCGAGGCACAACGTCGCATGAAGTGACGTCACGAACTGAAAATGAAGCCACTGCAAAAAATCCATTCCCGTGTGAGAAAACTACAACGCAAACAAACACGAAGCACGGCAGGCAAACAGCGTGGGCCCTTTATGGCGAACGTGGCGTCGCAATTATGAATGGCCAGCAGTAGAATACAAACTAATTTCCTTTCGTGGACGACCGCTCTAATGAACGCAGGGCCCTGCCCGCGCGGATGATCTGGCGCGGACGTCCCTCTGCAGACCATCAGTGGGTCACGTGGGTCACGGGTCAGAGCCCTGGGGTCAAATTGGTGACAATTGGCAGGAATTTTTCCTGGGAGTTTTCGCCCCGCGCCCGTTATCGGCAGTTGGGCATGGGTCGAGACGGGCGGGCGGGAATTTTCGCTCGAGCTGCGTAACCCCTCGCTGTGTCCGTCACCGCCATGGGCCGCCGCACACACCTTCGTTCGTGTGCGGACGGGAAAGGCAGATTTCCCGTCTCGTGGGTTCGCACGCCACGCCTGGCTTCGCCGTTGCTACTCTACGCGAGTAGATAAATCAGAGTAAACCCCCAACCAAAAACAAAGTCTGGGTGTTTTCTCTCAGCTCCGTTAGTGTTTAAACGACTTATTTTTCTCGTTTTCTTTCCTTTTGTTTTGGCACTTGCTGCTCATTAAGTATTGTGAATCTTAAATATGAATTATTTCACGGGGGAATATATTGTTGGAAAACATTGCTAGTTTCTTTTGTTGTGTTCAAAGTTACCGTACTATTGCATTTCTGCCATTTTAAAAAGATTACTTTGTCGACTGAGAAAACGTAACATGTAAGACCTTTGTAGTCTGGATGTAAGAATACAGCCCAATGGATTGAATTAACGATTGCAGGGTAATTAACTCAGTTAAACTAATGTGAGCAATCTGACAAGGCACGTCTAATTTGCGCGCATTAATCCCATCTGCAATGTTAAGTCTTCAAAACCAGCCTGACAGTTCGTGGCCACGCCAGACCCTACCTCGTCCCCAGCCACTCACGCCGCAGGCGCGTTAAACCAGCCAGTGAGGCCCCGGTGGCATTTGGCAAGACGGCATCATCACGCGTTATCAAAATCATTGCACAAAATCCCACCGCTTTTGCAGGCGTAATGAACCCCGCCGTTTTGAATGCCTGCGTCCCCAACTCGTGCACCGACTCCTTCATCTCGGGACGACCGCGCTTAATGGGTTTTTTTTTCTGTCCGTGTGCGTGCGCTTCCTTCATGCGTTCGCCGCTTGCACTTCGGCCCAAGCAGCTGACTTGCTCTCTCGCGTGTGAATGACTGACTGCCCGCTCGGTGGCGTTTCCTACCGTATGCAAATCCGGCGGTGTGTTTACACGTAAGGCATGACCGTTACATTGTAGCCCCGGTGAAGGTGCGATGGCGCACGGGCAACAACCGCTGAGGCCATCTCCCTCCTTATGTTACGGCTCAAGAACACGAGTGTGGCGTTACGAGGTGAATAGGGAACGTATGTATGTTGAACTTCTTTCGCACCGTACGTAGCCAACCGTGTTCATCGGAGGTGCAGGGAAAAGACAACCAGTCTGGGGGAACCTTGAAGCCATGGACCGTGGCCATGGGCAAGAGATCTTAAGATGTGGAGAGACATAGCAGCGTACGGAAAGTGCCTGAAATAATTCAGGAACTGCCGTTAGGTATAGAAGTCTGCAATATTATGCGTATGACAACGCAAGTAAAAAATACTGATAATTTAAATAATTTTGTTTTTCTTTTATATTATCATATATATGTAAATCCCTAGCAATTAAAATAACGTTTTAAAAATAATTAACATGCCCTATAAGAATTTAACGATTTTTTTTTCTGTTATGTAAATGTTAGGCAATGCCATCTACCATGCACAAATAGAGTCCCTCCTGGCCTTGAGATGGCACCGCGAGATTTTTGTTTGGTTTAAATAAATATACAGTCCCCGGCGCATCGATTACGCATACATACATTAAGCATACATACATTCGACGTACGTAGTACATGCATTAACTCATTTCTTTACAACTGCTTTTCGTGTTGAGTTCGTTATCCTTATTCATATTCTTAGGTTTTTTCGGTAAAGTCACGTTATCCTTCCTCCGTACCTCAATTAGCATGGTTTGCTGCGTTCTGCGCGAAAAGAAGTTCACCATACATACAAGAACTTCAACATACAACAAGCGGTGACCATTTCATTTCACTTGCCCGCGTCCCCCCCATCCACCCCACTTTAAAATCAATGCCCGCTTTTTTTCCCTTCCTTTCTGAAAACCCGCAGACATCGACGAGTGCGACAGCGACTACACCGGCTGGCTGCGTTCACGAGTGCATCAACATCCCCGGCAACTACCGGTGCACTTGCTACGATGGCTTTCATGCTCGCCGAGGACGGACACAACTGCTTCGGTGAGCGATGGTTCACGCCGCCAGGATTCCGCTGGCACATCTCAAACACGCGCTGTTTGATTAGGGGTCTCCTCGGGAGGTTGGGCGCGGGGATGGTGGGGGGAGGGAGACTTTTGGAGGGTTCACCTAGGGTGATGGCCAGCCCTTTGTGGGTGCCACTGTACGGAAGGCCACACGTTCTTTTCGTCAAACCGATACTCGTCGTGCGTTTGGTTTTTTTTTGCCCACGCGAGGTTCCATTTTTTTTTTTGTCACGTGAGATCGGTGGCTTCGCTCGTGCCGACCTTCCGCGGAGGGCAAAGGGTGCGGGCAAATCTGCGGCTCCGGAGCCGTGCCCGGCTCTTGAAGGACTGATGCTTCGAGACGGTTATTTACTGAGGCACCACTGCCCCACCGCCTTCGTGTTCACCACAGTGCATTGCGGCTCTTGAAATATTTAGTTTTTTTTTTATTACCGAATTCGAAACAAATGGATCGTCTCATTATTTTGGTTGCCGGCCCCTGGCGAAGGGTTTCGCGGTTGCGCTGAATTTGTGCGTTTTCGCCTTGGCACAACTACAAAATCGCAACAGAAAGGTCTTCCTCCTCCTCCCCCTTCTCTCTGTTGTCTGAAATGTGAACACATGTTACGTGTCTTCTTGCGTTCGGTGGCTCGCCATTATGTACATGCCCCGCTTGGCATACAAAGTCTTGAGATTCAGCTGCAGTTAAATGTTACGCGGGTATTTTTTTACGTAATTTTACTTTTACTGCGTAGCTCAAATCCAACACCGTGAAGGAAAAAAAAATCTATAATCAGACAATACGCCTCCCTTCCATATTCGAGTGCACAATTTGGCTCAACAGAAGCTAACTCTGGACCAATTCTGACATCAGCAGAGTGAGGCTCGGTTGGACAAAAATACCGGTGAACTGCCAAATGCTTATCGGCAAATACCCTCTCTGTTAGATATGGGTCCTACCTAGTTCGACAGAAAACAATATAATGGCACAACTTAACAATAACCGTTGGCATGAGTGATTGTTCCCAACTCTGATTAACATTCCCACGCCGTGGCACTGAGGATTGAGGGCGGCGTGACCAACACAGGGAGGCCTGTAAAACTCGGGACGTTGCTCGTCGTAAACCTCTCGGCTCAGGAGAACCACGCAGCTCTTCGCTGGTGCCAGGAGGACGCGAATGTTTTCACTTTGAGGAGTGGCAATAATGGGCGGAAATGGCATGTAACACCCTTGCCCCTTTCCTCTGCCGCGCACTGCCACTGCTGCCTTTTCCCGCCCGCAGAAGGTGAAGTTTAAGGAGTGGTGTTGCCACATTGTGTCAGATTGCACCACGCTGCAGCTCAGCGAGCGTGGACATTTGGAAGAGCGTTGTTGTCTTCTTCTTCATTGAGCTTAGTGGAAGGAAGCTTTAGTGCAAGGTGCACTAACTTAAGCGATTGAGACCGTTGAGCATTTATCAATAGATCTACGCCTGAGATGACTGTGTGGTTGAGAGGTCACAGCATTGGGCCGGCACTGCCGAGGGCATGGGTTTGAATCCACTCATTTTACTTATTTATTTTTGCTTAAAACAATATTGTTTCGATATATTCTTTTCTCATAGCAGAGTGTGTGGGAAAGCGAAAAGTAGACTTGATGGAATTTTCAGGAAAGGTCCTGTGAACGATATCTACTGCAGCTATTATCTTATCCAGAGGTGTAACAGCTCTGTGAGATTTCCAAATGGATTCTGCTTCTTAATGACATGATGCCATTAGCACATTTGAGTGAAATTGGGGGAACCCCCCCCCCCCCCCCACGAAATTCCACACCTACACTCCCACGACTTCAATTATTCACACATTGTGTACTCGCTGTGAGTAGTCACCTTGACTGTCACGTAGGAAATCGAGCGTTTTGATGCATTAGTCTGCACTTGGCAGGTAATCAAAGCCTCAACGGCAACAGATGCAGTGATTGCAAACGTGGCGCATTACCATTCCACAAGACAGCGAATTGACGTTCTTGGATGTCCAATTTGTTATCGGCGTTCACGTGCAGCAAACGCCGAGCTGCAGAGCACTGGCCGGGTGCGGACGGGGAGTTGGGAATCGATTACCTTTAGTCGATGACTTTTAATCGGAGGAGGCGGTCACCATGTGCACGCGCATTTATTAGCACGATCCTGGGGTCAAATGCGACAAAGATCCCCCGCATAGCCTGGAACAGACTGTTGGGGCAAGTGCTGTAAGCGAGCAACCTTTGTCTCCCCAGTGGCGATGATTCTACACATCGCACAAGGTACTCATTTGACACTGAGTCAACCTAGTCGAGGCCCAAGACCGGTTCAGATAATAGTCACTGGTGTTGGCCATGAGCAGGAGTCGAACTCGGGTCACAGGGTTTGGGGCGCAGAGCGCGAGCACTACACTACCGCTCCCAAAGATAAAGATCCCCTATATAGTCTGAACAGACTGTTGGGGCAAGTGCTGTCAGCGAGCACCTGTGAAGGCCGGCACGGCGCACGAGGGGGGTGGGTGGCGAGCGCTACACCGGACCACCTTTGTCTCCCTAGTGGTGATGTTTGATGTTTAAACACCACACCAGCTACTCATTTGAGACACGCGCACACACACAGAGGGCCCTGCGGTGACTCGAGCGAGTATCTGGAGTCCGTGTGTTTATAGGAAAACGTACAGGACCCCGTGGCCGTGAACCCAGATGACACAGCGCCCAATTAAGCTGGAATTATTGCGTTTACACGCGGGGAATATCGAAGGTTTGTGGAATTGATTCGGGCATTCGAAGCCGATTAGAGACGACGCTGCCGAAGCTGAACATCTGCCGGGTTCAATAGCCGTCGGGGTATGGTGGCCTCAGACTCGGGGGACAACGTAAACTCTCTTCCAAGACAAATGAGCCTTCATGGCGGGGGACCCCGGGATCCCAAAATCGTAATGAATTACATTTATTTTTTGGCGACTCCGTCCCACCGCGCACATAAACGCCGCGACCCGCCCGGCGCGGATGGTTCTGTGGTCGTGTCGTCCAAGCAGCAGCGGCGAGGACGAATGCGCCGAAGAAACAAAACTTTGAAACTTTGATGAGCGCATCGTGTAGAGCTCGTCGAGAGGAATAGAGTGCCGTGTCCGTTCGCCTTCAACAGACGTAAAGTGACGTCGCAACGCAGTTTGGGGCCATCCATTGAGTAGGTACGCAAAAATCTGTCAAAACCTGACCCCTACCCCCCCTGCCTGTACGCACGCGGACTTTTGACCCCCCCCCTCCCACTTGCGTACGTACGCTTGACGCACCCCCCCCCCCCCCCCCCCACGAATCCTATAGAACGGCCGATATTTAATCGACGCAGAAACGATCAAGGATTTATAATATGAACGTGTTCAAGCACACAGATTGTCCACCGCCGGACTATCTAACTCATTTGAAGGCCAATGTCGACAAATTATTATCGAAGCTTCAGCCCCTCCCCCCCCCCCCCCGTTTCCTATGCGTACATTGTCAGTAGACCCCCACATACGCAAGCGTACGCGTTTGGCTTAACCCCCCCTTCCCCCCTCCATGCGTACGTACTAAATGGATGGCCCCTTTATGCGACAGCCGGGATCTTATGGGACCATAAGGTTCATTTGCCCTCCGAGGTTTTTGTCGCGACCGCTCGCGCCGTACGCCAGCGGCCATTTTAATTCCCGTAAAAATTCGCGGATGAAACTCAAAAATATAACACCGGCTCATTCATTTTTTTGCCGTAAAGGTCGCCCGCTAAAGTACTCAAACCCAGTGGAGAAATGTAACACGTCCGTGCGATGTTTAAGTTAATGCTTAACCAAAACATGCTATTAGACTTGGGTCTGCATGCTGGAATTGGGAGAGCACATGCCGTATTTGAAATCTGGCAACCAAACTTTGAGACTTGTGTTTTGGTTCTGGCCGATTGCATACCTGGTGCTTGCACGCTGCGGGCAGGCACCCTTCTTTCATTTGCGGCAATTGCGAGTGTGGTCCACCAGCAGAAACGTGGTGTGTTTATTTTCATTCCTTGTTGTACATCTCAAATTATATTCACAGCTTGTGTGTGCGTGTATTGGGAGCGGTGGTGTAGCGGTTAGAGCGCCGCACTATGATACCAGCATTCCGAGTAAAATTCCCGTTCACGGCCAACATCAGTGACGATTATCTGAACCGGTCCTCGGCCTCCCCAAGGTCGACTCAGCCTCTAATGAGTACCTGGTGCGATGTGTAAACATCGCCACTGGGGAGATAAAGGTGGCCGGGCGTGGTGTTGGCCACCCACCCCCTCGTGTGCCGTGCCGTCCTTCATAAGTATTCGTATTCGTTAACAGCACTTGCTCCAACAATCTATTAATGCTTGATGGGGGATCTGTGTTTTTCTACGTGTGTCTGTGGAGCGGTAAGGTAGCGGTTCCCGCAATGCGCTTGTGAATCCAACAACCTCGGTTCTATTCCTGGCTATGGCTTACATCAGCGGGTGAATATTTGAAACCAGTCCAGGGATTCCACTGGGTAAACTCAGCCTTAAATGAGAAGCTGGTTGCAGTTTGTAGACGTCAGCAATGGGCAACGATGGCTTGCTATGCTTTCAGACCACACCACCCCCTCATGCGCCTTGCCAGCCTTCAATAGGTGCTCACTGACAGCATGTCTATATGTCTATAAGAGGAATCTTTGTTGTTATGCTGTTGTCGTTGTTGCACTGCTCGTCAGCATTTAGTTGCGTGGCATGGATTTGTAGTGCTCCGTACAGACAGTTTCAGTGCAGCAGTGCAGGCATATTTCATAGCAGATTTATTTCAAGTGAGGGCGAGAAAGTTGGCATCTTCCTTAATGATCATTCCTTTCGAAAGGCTTAGCCTGACATGTGAAATCTTTTGGCTAAAAAAAAACGTTGTTGGGCAAACGTGAGAACAGCCAAGTTTACTCGTCATGCCGCCAGTTTGTTTCCATGGTCAGTTTTATTTTTAATATTCCCTTAATTCTTT